CGCAACTTGAGGATGGCAAATCTTATAGGGTTCAATCTTGACCCTAAGCTTGAGAGAGGAGAAGTGGTATGTGTGTTTTACTATTTATCTGTGCGTGTATGTGTGCTCGCTTATGTGTGTGTTCATTGTCATCCTTTTAAGTCTGACAATGTGTTTTCTTGGTTCAGCTTTTACGGGCGTCTCTGCTATCAGAACTGGTAAGTTCTAAGTGGTTTTTTTTTTTCTTTATTATTCATGGTTATTTCAAGTTTGCAGGCTCTGCTTGTGATGACACTAGAACATATTATTTTCAAAATGGCACGAATGTTACAATCTCCACAGTCAAACTTTTAAGGTTTCCAATTCTAGTGGTTAATACATATTCCAGTATGTTATTCTTGTAGAAATATTATTTCATTGCATCATATTTTTAGTACTGGAGGTTTTTGAGAAGTGAAGGTTTTTTAAAGTTTTCATGTCTGAACTTTCTTTCAAACATTCAAAATTGTCTATTTTTACTCATAACATGGATGCAAAAGAGGTGGATATACAAGTATGCATGTTCTGATGCTCTGGGAATGGAAGGAAAAAAAAATCATGTCATTTGAAATATATGTGGATATTGTTTTCAGGCTGCGAAGGGGGTATTAAGCTGTGCAACCCAGGAAGTAAAGGATCTTTACCATCTTCTAGAGCATGAATTTCTGCCTCTAGATCTTGCATTAAAGATACAACCATTGTTGACCAAGATTTCAAAAGTTGGGGGTAAGCTTTCTTCCGCTTCGTCTGTTCCAGAGGTGAAACTTTCTCAATATGTTCCTGCCCTGGAAAAGCTTGCTACTCTGAGGTTACTTCAGCAGGTGTGTCATTGATTATGTTTACTATAGCAGATTCCATATTATTTACCTCTCCCTATTTAAATATGGTAGTTCTTGCAATTGTTAATTTCTTCTTTTTACTCTTTCAGGTTTCTCAGGTGTATCAGACAATGAAAATTGAGTGTTTATCTCAAATGATTCCGTTTTATGATTTTTCTGTTGTCGAGAAGATTTCAGTGGATGCTTTTAAGCATAACTTTATTGCCATGAAAGTTGATCACATGAAGGGTGTCGTACTGTTTGGTAATTTGGTAAGTTTCTGCTGCCACAACTTGCCACGCCTTTGATTTTTACTTTTTATTTATTTTCGCTAGAATTTGCCAGAATTTGGTTTCGTTGCGTTTCTGCTGTTCCTTCCAATGAATTTCTTGTGATTTAAAGTTGAATTTGAAAAAAAATAAAAGTAGGAATATTTAAGAGTTTCTATGAAACTATGCTAGCCTTGTTTGTTTTTACTTTTATTTTTCTTCTGTACCAATAAAAATAATTTTTTAGTCAACTCTTTTTATATAAGCTTGCGAGTAAGACATTTGTGTGGGTTTAGTTATGAAATCCACAAGCCATTAACATTTGTCATTTTGGTTGAGTTTTCAAAAGTCTCCCGTCCTTGAGTTTCTTTATAGGCATGTGGACCGGCCTTGACATGCATTTTCTGTTAATTTTCTCCCTTCTTATCCCAAGGAAAATGAGAGAAGCGTAAATACTCCATGAAGAGCCAGCGAAAGCATGAGCGTGCTTGTTTCTGCCTTTGTCTGTCATTAAGAATATGTCTACGGGATCTTGTTTGTTTCTTTTTCAACACGTTGTTTCCACTTTCTTAAGCTTTTCCTTGTTTCTTTGTGTTTAACTCTTTCAGGGTATTGAATCTGATACACTTCGTGATCACTTGACTATTCTTGCCGAGTCTTTAAATAAAGCAAGGGCCATGATATATCCTGCTGCAAAGAGATCATCAAAATTGGGGGAGGTGCTACCTTCTCTAGCAGAAATCGTGGATAAAGAACACAAAAGGCTTCTTGCTCGGAAATCAATCATTGAGAAAAGGAAGGAAGAACATGAACGTCAGCTATTGCAAAATGTATGCATCTTAAAACTGCTACTTGATCTGATAGTTTGAATTTTACATATATATATATATATATATATTTTTTTTTTCAAAATAAATGATATGTTATCGCTTGATCGGTTTTCTCACAAAGGAACGTGAAGAAGAAGTCAAGAGGATGAGAGAGCAGAAGTTAGCTGAGGAGGCAGAGAGGCAGAGGCTTTTAGCTGAAGTTGAGATGCGGAACAGAGAACGGGTTTTGAATGAAATAAAGGAGCGGGAGAAGGAAGAAGCGGCTCAGCTTCGGATACAGCACATAAAGCTTAAGAATAGAACTGATCTAGTGAGTTGAAAATTGGTATCCTGTTATTATGTTCCTTGTTTTTTCACCAAGGGTCAATCCTGACAATGGTCACTCTTACTCTTAACAGGAGAATATGGGAAAGAAAGATTTGTTAGAGTTGGCCCTGCAGGAACAGGTTAGGGAGAGACAGGAAATGGAAAAGAAACTGCAAAAACTCGCTAAAACAATGGATTATTTGGAAAGAGCAAAAAGAGAAGAGTCTGCTCCCTTGATTGAAGCTGCTTTTCAGCAACGCCTGGTGGAAGAGAGAATACTTAATGAACGTGAACAACAGGTGTCCACATATATGAATTCATTTGTTGTGAATTCTAATTAAGAAAGATGCCCTTCGTTTTTAAATTTTGCCTACGTGTAGTTCTAGCTGTTTTTCTACCTTTGTTATATGCATTAAACTTATTCATTCTAGCTGTTTTTCTACCTTTGTTATATGCATTAAACTTATTCAACCATAAGTATATGTGTTGGCTTTGAACTCAGTAGTAACTGTAATTCATTCTGCTGCTTTGCAGCTGGAAATTGAGCTGAGCCAACAGCGACATGAAGGGGACTTGAAGGAGAAGAATAGACTGTCACGTATGGTTGACAATAAGGCAAGTTTTAAATTCTACCGTATAGCTTTTCCATTTCATTCACTGCTCTTGCATTTTCCACTTTCCCTTTTCCTTTCTCTGGTTGATTATTGATGTGCAATAAGCCAAAAGACCCGGAAATTCCTTTGTGAAGTTTCATCTATCTTAATCTTCACTTATACCAGTGAATATGCCTTCAGTAATAAATTGTATGCAATGGCTCCAAGTGCATCTTTGCAAAGATAGTAATAAATTGTAAAGACAGCGGGTGGTTATTTTGACATAAACACGTTCATCTTTTTTTTCATATTTCACCTCCGACAGATGATATTTCAAGAGAGGGTGATGAGCCGCAGGCAAGCAGAATTTGACAGAAGAAGAGTTGAGAGAGAGGAGCAAATTAACCAGCTGATTCAGGCTCGGAAGCAGGAGAGAGAGGCCTTGAGAAAGAAAATATTCTATGTGAGGTCTGAAGAAGAAAGACAAAGAAAGCTTCGTGAAGAGGAGGAAGCCCGCAAGTGGGAAGGTATAATCTTCGATAAGTTCTATATTTCCAAAGATATGAAGAATTTACTACATTTTCATTTTCAAACTCTTGAAACTGATATTTTCTTTGAGGGTCCTAAAAATAATATTTTCGAGAGTACTTTCGTTTGGTTGTCATCATTTATAGAGTTGTTTACGATCTATTCCTTTTTTTCCTAACCATCGTGGCAAAGAAAAATAAAAGAACGATTTGATTTCATAATTATAGACCATATTTCATCTCTTGTTTGTTTCATGCAGAGGCTGAGAGGAGAAAGAAGGAAGAAGCTGAACGGAAGGCGAAATTAGATGAGATTGCTGAGAAGCAACGGCAGAGAGAGCGGGAACTTGAAGAGAAGGAAAGGCTGAGGAGAGAAGCACTCTTGGGGAGATCTCCAGAGGCAATTTCTAAGCCTGCCGAGCTTCCTTCTGGCGCTCATCCAAGTGAGCCAGTTCCTGCTCCTGCTGATGCTGCTGCCGCCATCCCAGCAGCCACTAATGGTGGTGCAGCATCACCACCACCCTCCACTGGAAAATACGTGCCTAGGTTCCGCCTGCAAAACCCTGAAGGCTCTGCACAGGCTCCAACTCCAGAACCAGATCGCTGGGGCAGGCACGATAATCGGCCTTCGCAGCCTTCCAGCGACAGGTGGCGTAGTAGTGATGACCGGAGGCCTTCATTCAGCTCTGGTAGGTCATCCTGGTCCTCATCTAAAAACCCACCTCGTGGCTCAGAACGTTGATCATAGGATGAGAAGGCTTTGGTTGTTTTCTTGAAGGCGGGCCAATTTTGACTGTGATCAAGCTGTTTGAACTGCTGCTGGACCCAAGACAGAAATCAAATTTGTAGACGTGGTTAAGCTATTATTAACTTTTTTTATTTAATGTTTTTTTCTTTTCTCCTTTTGGTGATCTTCCCCCTGGTTTTGCTTTTCATCGTGCAAGTGATATCTCTTGGAGACTATTGTAACCTTTGAGGATTGACCAAGTTGTTATTATTCTATTTTAATAACTCAGATGTTTTTCCCCACTTCTGTTGGAGACTCTTTGGCTTCTTTTGTTGCTTTTTAGTCTCATTATATCTGCTTATAACAACACTTTTAGGGCCGATTAGTATATGGGTTTAAATCAGCGTTTGAAATTTAAATTTTTTTGTAAAAATTATTGTAGCTGAATTAAAATTGTGTTTTGTGCTATAGCAGAACTTATATATTTAATAAACTTATACTCTCAATTGGGTAAGTTTGATAAATGAATGATGGAAGAGAAAATTTGTGAACTCATCATTTGAAACATTGTTTTAAGATTTTTATTGTACTCTTAATTGATATTTTTTTATTGACTACATAATATTAATTAAAAAAATGGATAAAAATATTAAACTAAGGGGTATTTGTTTCATTTTTCTTCATTATCATGACAACATTGTTAGAGTGGTGGTTTTATTTTATTTATTTATTTATTTTATTTATTTTTTAACCCAAGTTTTCTACTATATGTTTTAAGCAAAAGCTTCTCTTTTTGTGGTTGCAGACGCATAGCCTAGAAATAGATCCACCCCTCTACTTTTAATGTTGATGTTTGTTCGATACTACCTTTAGTTAAAAACAAGATCTCCATCCTAATAAAATATCAATCATTTTATTCCCATAAAATTGGTTGTGTTATTTGTCTCAAATCCCTCAAAGTGAAAAAAAAAGTTGATTAAATACATGTCCATTCTACATGGCATAAAAGTAAAAGAATATCTATAAGTTAGGATACTTACACATAAATCCATAAAATGATCCATATAAATATTTCTATCCTTTGTTGATCGTTCCTTGAAATTAATTAAACAAAATTCATAATTACCTATGTAGAAAGGGTAAATTTAGAAGGATTATATCTCAATAACCACAAAATAGATAGATTGATAATGTTATAAAATTGAAAACATTTTTTATCCTCCTTCTCCGCCCCCACTATTTGTGTGCCACATCATCAAATTGCTAAACTGACTCTCTGGGATGCATAATGGAACCAAATTGCCCCGCCCCACCAGTCATGCAACTCTCTTTTTTTCTTCCCTTTATTTTATGTGGTTGAATTTTTCTAAATATGATATTTTTAGCTTAAAAAGTTTATAAGTTAAACTAACCACAAATTACCTTTAAAAATATGTTTTCTTTATTATTTTATATTTTTTGATAAGTCCTAATTAGGTCCAAATTGCCCCACTCAATTATGTATAATATGCCGTTTCAGTTCTCGTTTTTTTCCTCTCAAATCACGCTCTACAAAACCGAACTGCATGTCTGCAAATTACCGAGCTACTCATTTTGAGTAATTATTTCGAGAGAAAAAACCAAAATACCACTCAAGATTGTAAAATTTTTTTATTGATGTCGCTTCACTTAAAAATAAATAAATTTTCATTTAATTAATAAATATAAAATAAAAGGTTATGATGACACTCAATTATTTAAGATGACATAAATAATATACATGTACAACACTATTACAAACCATGTACTTTTCTCTTATTTGGTAGAGAAAAAGTGTACGAGTCTTGATTTTTATTTCTTACTTTTAATTAATACTCTTTATAATCAAATAACTAAAGGTACTAATTAAGAGTAAGTAGTAAAAATTCAAACCCGTTCTCTTTTAAGGGTAAGTTCAACAATTTTCTCTGCAAAAAAAGAAAGAGAAAATGAGACAAATATCCTTTATATGTGCATGGGTCAGGATTTCTACCTCTTATTATTGATTAATAACATTTTTAGCCAAATAACTATATTAATAAAAGAGTATTAATTAAGAATATACTAGTAAAAGAATATTAATTAAGAATAATGGGTAAAAATTCTCTTTAAGATAAATTATGCAATTTTCTAAAAAAAAAAAAAAAGAAAAAAAAAGAAAAGAAACCACAAGCAATTTGGATCCACGATCCATACAAAACTCTCTATACTACAGCCCGATTCGGGCCCAACTGAAACACCCCGGTTGCCCATTTCTCACTAAAACCCTGCCTTGTACCCCCGGCGTCGTCTTGCTCTTCATTTTCACTCTTCACATTCTGAAAAATACTCAGTTTTCTCTCAAAATGAGTGCTTCTTCCGCGAGACTTACTAGATGTTTGAGAATATCTGTTCCTGCATCGCCCAGTTCCTCACTAGGTTTGTTTCTCTCTCAATATATGCGTGTGTGTGTGTGTATATATATATGTTTATTCTTTTTACATTTACACAATAATACAACATCTTCAGGTCAATCTATATGTGGGTTTCTCTGAAACAGTTATTTACTTAATACTCAACATGGGTAGAGTATTTTCTTTTTCCATATCTAATTTGGTTTTGGTGGTTAATTTTGTTGAAATAATTTGGTGTTAGTACGCTTTTGAGGTTGATATACTAAATGGGTTTAGGTCTAAATATCATGTTTTGTACGTTTAATGAGATGATCACGTTGTAGTATTGTTTTCTCTTAGAGGGCGTTTTCTGAAAAATAGGTGATAAGTACATAAGGTTCTTGAGTAATGTAATGCATTTTCTGTGTGTGTGTGTGTACATATATATATTGGTAATGCTTAATTTAGGCATTTTGGATTACTTATTATGCTGTTGCCTTTCTTGATTGATTCTAGCTGCAGGCGCGGAGAGAAGCTCGAAGCTGTGGTTTTCCACTGAGTCTTTCGGTGGCGAAAATAAGGAGGAAGGAAAGAATGAAGCAGAGGAAGAGTATGCCGACTTACTTGGTTACAAATCGGAAACAGAATCGAAACCTCAGGGAGTGAATCCCGGTAAAGGTTGGGAATTCCGGGGTGTGCATAGGGTAAAGATGATTTTGATTCTTGAATTAAGATACATGATTGTGGAACTTTTGGCCTTTTCTTTTAAGAATTTTACTTGGCATAGACTACATTTTCATCTTTTTTTTTTTTTTTTTGGTTTCCAAAGGATGAAATAACTTATGATGAGTTGTGGAATCATATTCTTAGTCAAATTATTAGCCAAGTAAAGTAATAAACTTTATCAGTTTCACGTCATTTAAGAACCCGCAATTTTGTTTTTACTCATTTATTTGAGCATTCAAGTGGCAGGTTATTGTTCTCATCGTTTCTTTATAACTTGGGCACTTGTGAACTTATATGCAGGCAATAATTTGTGGAAAAGTCGGGCAACCTCCTGTGCAGAAGCTCTTAAGAAACGGGCGGAATATAACCATTTTTACAGTTGGGACAGGAGGCATGTTTGACCAAAGAGTGATTCCAGAAAAGGGGCTGCCAAAACCCGCTCAGTGGCACCGAATCGCTGTCCACAACGAGGCACTTGGGGCTTATGCAGTACAAAAAATTGTTAAGAAGTACATATTCACATCTAAAGTAGATTATTATTATTATTTTCAAGTGAAAAGAATAGCTCTAACATTAAACGTTAAATGCAGCTCACCGAAAGAGTGATTCCAGAAAAGGGGCTGCCAAAACCCGCTCAGTGGCACCGAATCGCTGTCCACAACGAGGCACTTGGGGCTTATGCAGTACAAAAAATTGTTAAGAAGTACATATTCACATCTAAAGTAGATTATTATTATTATTTTCAAGTGAAAAGAATAGCTCTAACATTAAACGTTAAATGCAGCTCACCGGTTTATGTTGAGGGTGACATCGAAACAAGAGTTTACAATGACAACATCAATGGTGAAGTCAAATACATTGCAGAGATATGTGTTCGTCGTGATGGTACGTCTCCCAATATTGTCATTTTCTCTTAATGTTAATTCTACTGTTTTTTATGGTGCTTTGCCTTCCTCAATTCCATCCTTTTTCACTGGAATAATGATGAGAAAATAGTGTTGCTTCTGGTTTGACTTTTGAGCTTAATCGATCTCCTCCTTGGAGGGTGAGAGAGATGGTGCAGCTTATGGAAGATTGCAGGTTTCTAACCTTGTATTTCTGGCACATGAGCAGTTTAATAATTAATTGATATGCGTCGACATGCATATTGTTTACACAGTATGAACTATGAATCATGATACAGATTTATCAGTCTAAATTTATGGAGACGTACTTCCATTTATAGGGCGTCTAGACAAAGGTTTATATATTAGAGGTTGCCCTCTTTACCTCAAGAGTTCTGATGGAAATTTATATTGAAGTTCACGGTGTTCTAACATTTTGTCGAGGGATGTGTGCACCTAGGCGAAGGTTTACTTTTTGTAATCGTGTCTGTCTATACAAAAAATTTGTAATGGTGAATCGAAGTTGTAATACGTCTATTTCGCGTGGAAAGTTGACGCTTCCTCCTCGAGGCAAACTCAAAAGAAAAGGGGAAAAAGAGAGAAAAGGAATAAGAAAGTTATAGTTCATGGATGACAAATAAACTCAATTACTGTACTTAGTTTGATATATTGTTATTGCACAGTAGACTTCCTAACTTATAATGCTGCTAAACTTTCACCTTATCAGGGAGGATTCGCCTCATAAAGACCGGAGAAAGTATCAGCAATATTTCCTTGAATGATTTGCGTAAGTTCAAGTCTTTTATGTTTTCTATTTTGCAAAGTCAAATAATGGAACGAATCTTTAATAAGGTAGTCTTTGCCTAGCTCAACTATTCCAGTGAGTTGAGGGGGAAAGAGGAATGAGATTTTTACATACGCTACGAGTAGGGTTCTGTTTTGAACGTTCAAATCTGTATTAAATTGTCACTTTTGCATGCTTTTTCGTTTTGCTGTGATTTCAATCAAACCTAGCGTTAAGAACATATAGTACGTATACCCTACCGTAGAAATCTCCAAGAAAGAAAAGAAAAACGAGCAAGTATTATAAGATATTGTCTCTCTCTCTCTCTCTAACTTTTGAGATTTTGAGGGCACCATTTGATAAAGTATCCTGTTTGGACATAAGATCTTGATCAATTTGCCCATATGTTAATTGCAGGGGAGGGATTGTTTTAGCTTAGACCCATTGGAATCTTGGTCTTGGAAAAGAGTCCTGATCAGTCATGCCTCTTTTACTTTTATATGAAAATATATATTTGTATCTCAGCTGGTTCAGCTGTAATCAGGTGGAGAAAGCCGTCGGAGATTTGAAAATGTTTCTTTTCATTACCCTTTTACCGAATTGCTCTGTTCTCGACTTTTTAACAAATTCAATGTTCATTGTTCCTGCTAAGTTCACTATGATCGGTTTGCTAAGTTCACTATGACCTGTTTAGTTCTGTGCATGAGTGAAGGAATTTACTGGCGAAAGTTCCTCATAGAAATGCTAACTTTCTAACATGTTTTTAAGATAAATTTCAACGTAAACTTTTTTTCTAATAATTTCCTTGAAGCATATTTTTTGATCTCTTAATAAGCCAATATCGAACTTGTAGGACCCATTAATCATTGATATATATTGAAGAAAATAAGGAATTTGGTTGGAAGTGCATTCCGTTTCCTAAAGGTTTCTGGATGAAATTATAGTCGATAATATAGGAAGTTTATTTACTTTTTCAGGTTCTTTTATATTGCACCTTTTTAATTATTGCGGAAGTTCAACTCGTAAACTCTCTTGCCAGAAAATTATTTGTTTCGTAAGAAATAATTTTTTAAAGCAAAGATGTTAAGCTAAAGAGTAAAGAGCCACTAGTACAAGGAATTTTGTTAGGAAAAAAAATAAAGAAAAAAAAAACTAAAAGGGGCATATTTTGACTTTTGCCTTAAATTTTGTTTTTAATTCTTTTCAAATTTTTTAATTCAACCAACTTCATCAAAATTGTAGTTGGGAGCGTGCCAAAATTTGCTTCATAATAGTTTCATTTCTTTAAATTGATTTCATCGTAAGGTATGTTTCATAAACCACTTGAGAAAAATTCTCTGTCGTAACCCTATCCATATATAATAGGAGTTTCTCTAGTAAGTAATGAAAAATACTAAAAAATTTTTACTTTAAATTTATATAAAAAATTATATAATCATCAAATCCCGTTTTGTCTTTTTTGCATAAAAACCAGCCAGCCGGTAATATATATCTATTTTAAACCCGTTCTTCCGACCATTTTTGAAAAGCGATTTTGATAAAATTTAACATAAAAAAAAAGTTAAAAACATATCCTATTAGAAAAACTCTTTTTATATATAAAATATGGGATTAGTGATTGACACGTTCTTACTCAAATCTTATGTTTCTTTATGGCACTCATATATTATTTGTGCTCAACAATAATAAGTTTTGAGTGTTCTATTTTCTGTCTGGTTTGGTGGCGCGTGGAATATTTTTGCACTTTTCCTTTGAAAAGTAATAATGTTATTCTATTTAAATAGTGTGGACTTCTATTGCGTTAATAGTAGTGGAACTTTGGGCTGGCGGGTAGGTCCACTGCTCGAATTTTTCAGGCTTGACGGGCAGGCCCATATGCCGGCCCGTCCAAAGTTGAAATTCGGGCTCGGGCTCGGGCAGCCCGAATTTGGTCACCACGCCGGAGCCCGCCGCCGTGTAGGCGCTATCAACCGCCGTCCGCTGGAGTTTTTTTTTGAATTTTTCCAGCCAAGCCCGAATTGCCCGAACCACCCGAGTGCCCGAATTGCCCAAAAAACTGTCAAAACTCTGACTGTTGGTGCATGACCCGAAAATAAGCCTGAAAACCTGAATTTTGCCCGAATGCCCGAGGTGCCCGAATGCCTGAAAACCCGTCCAACGGCTAGTTTTTTGACCGTTGTTGCCCGAACCTGACCTGCCGATTCCTAAAGTAGCCGTTGCACCCCTAATTTTTTGAAGAAAAAAAAATCAATTTTTTAACCCAAAAATTTCCCTATAAATACCCCCCATCCCCCATACATTTTTCTCACTCAAACTCTCTCAATCCCTCTCAATTTCTCTTAATCTCTCTCAATCTCTCAAATCTCTATCACAATTTTTCTAAAAACTATCACATTATCCTAAAGCTCTCTCTCTCAAATCGCTCTTATTTTTTTATAACGGATCTTTTTGGTTATAGTGGTATTCCCGTTTATGCCCAACACAACGTGGAAGAAGGATAATTTCGTACCTCGACAGTTTGGGATCACTTCGACATAATGGAAGAGATCGACAATGAAGGTAACACCAAACATATCGCTCAGTGTAAATATTGTTTATCTAAATTATAAGGTGATACTATTCACGGCACCACACACTCGTGAAGACACTCCGAAAAGTGTATTCAAAAGCTTAGCCAATACGGCGGATCCGAACTCCGTCAAACACAATTATCTTTTGATCCCACAACCGGTGGTCTAACCACTTAGAAATACGATCCGCAAGTAGATCGTATGGAAGTTGCACGAATGATAGCTGCTTTAGATCAACCACTTAGTTTTGTAGAGCATCCTAATTGGTAACGATATATTAAGGTTGTACATAATCCTAATGCACAGTTCACTTCAAAAACTACTCTTAGGAAAGAATTATTAAAATTATTTAAAAAAGAAAAAGAAGCATTAATAAACCTTTTACACTCGACTAGCGGGTGCGTTGTGTTAACGGCATATATTTGGTCTGTCATTGTCAATAAAGATTATTTAGCTGTAACCGGACATTACTTTAAAGGATTTGATTTAGATAAGAGAATATTAGATTTTAAATGTGTTCTAGGATTACATAATGCGGATTTAATATATAATATCATTTTAAATGTAATTGATGAATTTAGATTAAGAGATAAAGTAATGGCTATAACATTAGATAATGCTAGTGTCAATACAAAAGTAATTGAGTTCTTTGAAAATGATTTAAGTTTATTCGGTGACGATACAATTTTCCACCAACGTTGTGCATGTCACGTAATTAATTTAATTGTTAAATCTGGTTTAAAAGAAATGAGTAATCACATAAAAAGAATTAGAGATAGTCTTGCATGGATTCAAGGTAGTAACCAAAGACAAGAAGATTGGTTTAGGTTCTTACAAGCGTTAAATATACCTCCTAGAGCATTAGCGTTAGATATGTCTATAAGATGGAACTCAACTTACATAATGTTTCAACAATGCATCCCCTATAAGGATGCTATAACAAACTATATGTGTGTAAAAGTATGAGTAGGACATATAGGCATATGATTGGCAAATTGCTGAAGTTTTGTATCAATTTTTATGTAGGTTTCCTGAAGTGACTCTAAAACTTAATGGAACATATTACCCAACATCACCTTTAACTTTAGGAGAACTTTTACGAATTAATATTTTATTTAGCGAATATAGGGAGGACCCAATCTTAGCAGTTCCTATCCATTCTATGGAAACGAAATTTATAAAATATTGGTCTAAGTTGCCTTTGTTATATGGTCTAGGTACTATTTTTTTATCATAGATTAAAATTAGAAGGTTTAGAAAGTGGTTTAGAAAACTTAGGTGAATTTTTAGGCATCAAATGTTCGGACCAATATCCAATAATAAAGGAAAAAATATATTCGATCTATAGTAAATATGAGATTAGGTTTAGAGTATCTCCTAGAGTACAGGAAACGCAAAAATAAAATGAAAATCCGCATTCATTCTTGAATGTTTTTGGGTTAAAGAAGAAGAAGACAACTCAAGCAGAAGCTGGGAGTGAATCTTCGTCAACAAGTGGCAGTAGCAGTGGCGGCGGTAGCTTCAACGAGCTTATGGCGTACCTCAGTGAAGGCTTAGTAGTGACGGTACGACAGAATCGTTTGACTTAGTTCAATGGTGGAGGGCACGGGCATTAACTTGGTCAATCCTAACTCGATTGACAATGGATATATTTTTTATCCCAGTCTCCACTATTTCATCTGAACAAGCCTTCAGTACGACATGAAGAATACTTGAGGAACACATGAATGCATTGCAAAAGGATATTGTTGAAGCCTTGGTTTGCATTAAGGATTGAGATCGGGCCGATCAACGTCTACAAGATACAATTTCGCCAGTAAGCCAAGAATGGATCGATGCATTTAATCGATTAACATTTAATTTTGAAGACAATCCTTCAGCTTCAAATTAAATTGTAAATTTATAATTTGTAAATATGTATTTACTTTTGACATTGTATTTGTAATTGTATAACTTTGTAAGTTTGTAAAATTTGTAATTCGTCACAAAATGATTGCACTCTTTTTTCATTGCCAAGTTTTTATCCCAATTGGGTTTTTCTTGGTAAGGTTTTTAACGAGACAATCATGAATTATGAATTTAATATATATCATTAATATACATGATTAATTTATTCAATTGTGTTAATAATGTCTGTTGAATGTTGATTTTGATTTTTATATAATTTTAACACAAACTAACTTAATAATTATAAAAATTAAAAAATATTAAAAAAATTTCGGGCTATTCGGGTGGGCTTGGCCGGGTTCGGGCAGCCAAATATAAGCCCACGGCCTGTTCAAGGGCATTTTCGGGCTCAGGCGGGCGGCTTGAATTTTTCGGGCAAGTCGGGCTTGGGCAAAAACTAGGTATTTTCGGACGGTCGCGGGTGGCCCGTCCAAAGTTCCAGCACTATGCGTTAACATCATGAATATTTAAATTTTTTTAAATATATAAGAAAAGAAAGTTCAGAATTTAGAGAGAGAAGGGTTGAGGAATGAAATTGAGAAGAAGGATGAAATGAAAAGGTAAACTAACAAATAATATAAACTATTTAACTATCAGTAAAGAGAAACCTACTGAAATAATTTAGAAAAACTTATTTAAACTCCAATTAAATATTAAAATCTAACTTAAAAATATATAGGTATTGTCTTTGGTCCAGTATCCGGACTGAAGCGGCACCATTTAGACACTGAGTGCCAGTAACTAAGATGCCCCACGTTAAAATTATATCAGTCAAAGTAGCTTGCTGTTAGATAGAAACTGAGAAAAATGATCAATCTGACAATTTTAGATGTTATCAAAATCAGTTCAAGGGCTAAATGGTAAAACGTCATGATTTAAAAAATGGACCAAGACAAATAAAAAAATATGCTACTCCAATGGTAACAATGTAAGTTGGAAAATGTATTACATTTGCAAACATGTACCATGAACAGAATACATGTGTAGCTTCTGTGCATTTAACTTTAGAAAAGGGCTAATCGTTGTATGACATACTTGATTATTGTATTAAATTTGCCCACTGCTTAGTCTTGCAAGAATAATACGTAAAGATAACAGTAACTATGATTAAGCATAGAAGATACATAAAATAGTAAACC